AGAGTCCTTGCCAGTGCTCCCAGCTCTATGGATACAGGATCCAAATCTTTGGAATTTTTTTTTCAGGGGGATAGGGGGAAGTACCAGTGATTAAACTCAGGGGCATTCAAACCATTGAGCGACATCTTCAGCCTTTTTTTTTTTTTTTTTGTATTTTATTTCGAAACAGGGTCTCACTGAGTTGCTTAGCACCTTGCCATTGCTGAGGCTGGCTTTGAACTTGCAATCATCCTGCTTCAGCCTCCCAAGCTGGTGGGATGGCAGGTATGTACCATTACTCAGATGTGTATCCTAAAACACAGTACTTCTTTTCTGTTCTTTGGATATTTAAAATAGATGCCAAATCAGTTGTTCCTAACACTGACTTTTTAATCTGCTTGTTAAACCCTCAATCTCCACAGGCAGAGGATCTACTAGTATCTTCTACTTCTCAAGTAGCTGTCTTGGGTTGGAGCTTCCCTGGCAAGCAGAGTGAGACCGAGGCTACTACATGGGAACTTTCCTGCAGGCATCTTCTCAGAATGGCACCTGTGGTGGAAAGAAGGCAGCTGCTTTGAGCCTAGGGAGATCAGGCTGCAATCCAGCCCACAGCAAAACCCTCCCTATGAGGAGCTCTGAACCCGGGATGCCTTTCTGAGTGGGTGAAGCAGGGGGTAGACCAGCCTTGGACAGGAGCAAGCTGAGGGTGACAGCTGAGCTCTATCTGCAAGACAGCCTTCCCAGCTAGAAATATGTCCTTCAGTCCAAAAGGGTCACTCCAGAAAGTGCAGCTCTGCATCTGTGACAGGAGCTAAATAATATGACATTTGCAGAGGGAAATAATGTCTAGTGCTGGGACATATTGATAGCTCCATAAACATTAGCATGTATATGCCCCTGGTTTATTAATTTGCTTGGAATTACATACACTAAAATGTCAGCAATGTTTAACTTGCGAGTGGGACCTTGGCTGCTTGCTTTCTTTCTGTATTTTTCTGTGCTTTCAATTTCACAGTTGTCTATTGCCCCAGGCCACCTTCCAACTACCTTCTGGTGTAGATATTGGCAGATGTTATATTTTTGACATTGTTATGCTGTGTCCTATGGAGTGAGAGGAGAAACATACTACCTTAGACAGCTTTCTTTATGCCACTTCATTGCTATAGACCCTGTGTCCAAATATAACCTCCTAACTCTTTTATAGAACTTGGTGCTTCATAAATGTCTATTGAGTAGATGAGTTATTAAAAATACAGTATCATCTCCTACAGTGCTTTCATACACTCTTTCCTCAATTCATTCCATATTTCATATATTTGTTTACTCACTTGTTCTTTCATTTATTCAACAATCATCTATGAAATTTATACTCTGGACCAAATATTCTTCTGAAGGCACAGATACTAATAACAATAAAAACTTGAGGTTATTGTTATGACAACTCCAGACATCCTCTGAGTGAATGATTAATCTTGAATTAGCTATAGTATAAAGAAGACAGTGCGTTAAAGATGGTATAGGAATCTGCAGCATCACCTGAGAAGGGAAGAGATACAAGTTTTGGGACTTCAAAATCTTCACTTGGAAGATGCAGAGTTACAAATAACAATGTCTGAGCAAGTTTGTATCAAAGCTATAGAAAAATCAATTTTGTCTCAGCTATTTCCTAAATTTAGTTTTACATACATAAGTCTATAGCAGAGATCTAGTCTGTGCTGGGGTCATCTATCAGCCAGGTTTACTTTATCAAATACTACATTGTGCAGTGTACATCAAAATGTCTTTAAATATCTTAAGTCTTATTGGTTACTCTCTCAAAGATATGTCTTACTACTGACCTAGGATCATGTAACCAGACCTGTAGAGACTCCTGAATATTAGATCCTTGTTTCAGTTCTGTAGTCCAAAGTTTAGGAACATGTTTAAATCAATGTTGAGCCTGAAAAGACTGAGGGTTATATATGCAAACTGTTTTCAAAGCTGAGAGTATAGTCCCACACTAGATAGGTTGCATTACACTGCTGATGTACTTAAGTTTTATATTTCATTCAAATGTCACCATTAGAGATGTGGTTTTTACGCAGGAGAGAAATCAGGACATGCAAAAAATGATGTAAGCAAAATTTAATATGATAAAATGTCCTAAGATGATAATAAGGTAGGATGGGAAGTGGGTACAAAAAGAAAAGTAGCACATTAAAATGATAAGCTAATGGGGAATGATGTTAATTACTTTCTGTTACAGGAACAAATACCTATGTTGAATAAACTTATAAAAAGAAAAGTTTTATTTTGGCTCACAGTGGTGGGAGATCCATTGGCCCTGTTGTCTTCGACCTGTGGTGGTGTATCATGGTAGGAAAGCATGGTAGAACAAAGCTTCATCTCATGGCCTGGAACAAAAGACAGGTAGTACTGGAGTCCCCTATTTCCATCAAGGGCACACCCCCAATGACCAGAAGACCTCCCATTAGATACTTCCTCTTAGAAGTTCAACTAAATCCCAATAGTAAAATACTGGCTTTTAACACTTAGGCTTTTGGAGGATACTCCAGGTCCAATCTATAGCAGAGATCAGAAAAAAATTAAAGGACAAGATAGTATCTATGTTGGGCTTTTTTCCCCCCGACTTTGGTCTACCTCAAAGTCATTTGTGAAAGACTAGTAATATATAAGATGTGATAAAATATTTAAAATGTATTGTACAGGTAGAGAGTGTACAGGTAGAGAGAAGACAGTATTCCAAACAAAGCTAATGACCCAGACCATGGAAGTAAAACAGACACTACCTGTAGACATTGACAGGAAAGACATGAAATAACATGTGGACAGTCTTGAAGTCTTTAAAATATGAGATATTGAATTAGTTGTTATTGTTTTCGCAGCCTTCATCTTGCTTGTGCAAAAATATTTCAGGGTCTCTTTTCTTGGGAAACATAAAGAAAAACACATTTCGTTTTTGTCTGACACGCAGACATACCAGTCAGCCTCTTTCTGATTTTGTGTCAACGGTCCTTCCTAAAGCACACTTGACCTCTTCAGATTACATTGCTGGTTTTCTTAAGCATTAAATAACTGGAGGAGAACCACTGGTTGAGGTCAAATGATTTATCAAGATCAATAGCTCTGACTGACTCTGGGTAGATGCAGTGCACTTTCCATATTGAAAGGTCAGAATCTGTCAACTAGCAGGAAATGCACTAAGCTCAAATAATGCATGTCAGGATAGCATAAAATGTTGTTGATTGCACTGTCCAGGGGCCATTTTGAAACAGCCTCATTCCTTTGTGTCTGAAATAACCACTAGATGGCATTGCTATTTCAAAATGGATTATCTGGGGAAGGAATGGAAGCACCATCAGCTCCATCTCCACTCCTGCCTTGTCAATCTATTCCTTATGCAGGCAGACTGGACACCCATATCTGTTCTTCATCTCACATCCATCAGTTTTCTCATATAAAAAGATGGGGAAAATAATAGCATTTATTTGGTTTTTTATGAAGCTCATATTCAATAGTAGACAGTAAGCTATAAGTTCTAAAGCATTGAATATATATTAATTTGTCTAATCCCTATGAATAAATGTAAATCAAAAGAGTATGAAGTTATAAGAATGGAAAGAGTAGCTGTTAATGATTCCAACATTTAAGCTTTCTAATTCAGTCATTAAAAAAAAGAGAGACCAACACAAAAGGAGGTTTTGAAAAACTCTCTGTCTACCTCAAAAGTCAAAGTAAGGAAGAAAAAAAAATAAGATGCCTAAGGGAGCTTAAATAAGTATAATATTATGTGTTTTTATCTCTAAATAGTCTCTAGTCTCGGTATACTCTTGGTCTTTAGCAAATATCAGAAGAAAATCCACATAAATATCACTTATATATCTGTGGTGAAATATATTAGGAACAATATTCATTATATTGCCTAGTGACCCCTACATAACATCTAAAGAGTCAAATTTCATTATAATTTATGTAAGGAAAATGATTTTTAAAATCTTGTAAGAGATTATGTGCCATATCATATATTCTTGTCTATCATGAGACTCAACCAATTTTAATGTTCATCTGAATATTAACCCTCATGGTAGGATATAGAGATGCTACCCATTTTTCATGGCCTGAGTCTGTTTCTTTCTCAGAAACTGAAATCAATGTTGGGCTTTCCCCCTCCCTTTTGGTATACCTCAAAGTCACTTGTGAAAGAGTAGTAATATATAAGATGTGACAAAATATTTAAAATGTATTGAAAATGCTTTTGACTTGTCAACCCAGTTAAAGGCACTATGAATTCATTCAAGAATTTTTTTTTAACTTTTTGTATAACACCCTACAAGGTATTGAAAACAAAAGATAAACATAGGCTTCGACTGGAACTTAATGTTGTCAGAAGGGTAAAATGAGACATATATTAGTAAATCAATTTGCCTGGCATCGTCTAATGTAGTGCAAATGTGAGCTTATCACAATTTCATACTAGGCTGAGCATAGCACAAAAGACTCAGAGTTTCCTGGCCTGGAGAGATCTGGAAAGGTTTACGAGTGATTTCGAGGTCAGGAGAAGTTAGATAAAACAATGAGGTAAAGGTATGGTGGGAATCAAGGTGAGAACCTACTTGATACCTCGGGAACAGCTATTAATCTGGCTTTAGCAAAGGGTTTATTGTGTGGTTTGGGCATTAAAAGTTAGAGTCTGAAGGTTGAAGTGCAAGGCTAAAAAATTACTACTCATTATACACATGTAACTGTTGTGTAAAATTCAAGCTAAATTGGGAAGCTCCTCATAATTGATGGCCCTCTAGGTAGAGCAAATACCTACTGAACTAATTGCTGATTCTTAAATACCCCTAGGCTGCTTCTTGGGCTTCCTAAATAATTGAAAGCCCAGGTAATCATAGATGATCAGTGTGCAGGAGACATTTACAGCAAAACTCTAGGAAGCTGTTTTGAATTTGCCTTTTGATGAATCCCAATTTAGTTAAATATTGACCATTTGAAAATATTCTTTTTCTTTTTTTTTTCAGTGTTGGGATTGAACCCAGGGCCTTGTATATGCCAGGAAATTCCTCCATCTCTGAGATACATCCACAGTTACTAAAATTCTTCTTCTTTTAATGGGATGTCAGTGTGTGTTGTGCCCAGGTGGGTGTCCCTCAAAGTCAAGGTAAAATCATGTTCATATTTGTCTAGAGCCTATTTTACTTTGTATTATTCCATAAATTTGGTCTAGAAAAATTGATCCATTTATGGAATATTTTTTTCTTTTCAATTTTATTTACTTATTAAAAGAGATAAATAGATATTAGGTATTAATAAGCAGATTTGATGCACCAGGGCAGTTCATCATTTTGTTTCTACAACACAGAGAATCCTTTATAAGTTTGAAATAATGACACATTTTCCCATAGCCTATTTCACCCAGGATTAACAGCTTTCAATAAGCAGTGCTTCCTTATAATACATAGTCTTGAGGTAGAACCCTCAGGCCATCATTGGGTACCCATTCCTTTCCTCTGAACACAACCTTATTGGTACCTTTTCTAAATGTGTCCTTTTCAGTGTACGGAAATCAGGTCTGATTTCCAAATTTCAGAAGTTGATTGTTCACAGAAAAAGGACACACCTTCATTATTCTAGTTATTATTTGTTCATTCACAGTCGTTCACTCAACAAAGTTTGATCCATGTCTACTAGGCACCACGCATATCACCAAACAGACAAGAGTCCTTCCTCCTATGGAGCTCATAACCCAAGGGGGAGACAGATACCAGAGAGAAATGTACACATAGCTAAAATTATGCAAAGGCTATTTTGGGATTATGGAGACAATTTGAATGCAGTGGAAGGAGAAGTTTTCCTCAAAAAAGTTGCCTACCTCAAAGTTGAGGCTGCAAGAATGGGTAAGAGTTGAAAAAGAATGAAGGAAAACTGGAGTGAGCAAAACTATCAGAGTTATGTGGAAAAAAATGAGAAAAATGTTGCAGGAGTACCTTCTAGGACAAGAGGATGATGAAGACAGTGGTGATGGTTAGTGAGGAGGAAGGAGGTATTGAGCTGGAAAAGCTCCCAGGAAGGAGTCCTCCAGGCCTGTGCAGAAGCTGAAGGAAGAACTATTTGACCAAAATGTGCAAAGAACAGGGTGCAGGGGGAGAGTGGAAGAGGGCCATTTTGGCCTCTGAGAACACCGGATCCTTTTAGCTGCATACCACTAAAAAATGACCACCTCGTAACCAGCAACCTCAATTTCTCTAGGTGACCCCTGCTTTTGATTATATAACAGGGTTATAATGTTAATCCTTTGTAAACTGTATCTTGTTTACTGATTTTCTTTCTCATTTTTTTCTTTAACATGAGTAATGACAGGACTATACAAAACAATTCTGGACCTTCTACCCCTTGGAATTAACCTCCAACCTACCGTGCCTTGGTATGGGCTAGTGTTTCAGTTCTCCTCCTGCCTCCACTAAAGCTCAGCTATACACAGTTAACTCCTTTAATCTTTTCTCACCCAGTTAGTCCCATTTTCTTAATCATTTTTGTTCCTCCTCTCACTATTCCCTTGAAAATTGCTTTATCTCATGGTCAATTTATCACATAGCTATTTAATTTTTACCAGGCACATAAACCCCTCAGTGAAAATAGCTCTGAGAAGCACATTTGCACTCACTGTAGCTCCTGCCTTTCTGAGAATATTGCTCACTCTTGCCGTATAGATTGGCTTATATATGTATCTCAGAGTTGAGTGCAATTAGCAGGATGTCTGTGTGCTAATGGGCATGCCATCTTGACTCTGACCTCATCGCGTGAAGAGGCAGACACAGAGTATAAGTGGAAAATTTAACATAGACTTTCAAATCAGACCCGCCTAACATGTGGCTGGCTCCCTACTTTGAGTTGCAGGGGTATCTATGTTTGATAATAATTACAAAAGTATCTCTGGAATGAGACTGGCAGGATTTGCATCTACATATCGTTCCCTTCCAGCACAGTGGTGTTGGATAAGTGAGTCAACTGTTCTATGCCTTAGTTTCTCCTATGTGAGATGAAGATAATGATCATACCTCTGCTAGGGCTGTTGTAAAGATAGACTGCCAAGTGATTAAGAGAAAATCTTATTGGAGGTAAAGGTTCAGTAAATGCTGACAGTACTTCTTTGAAATGGAATATATATATATATATATATATATATTAACCTCCCAAAATCATTATCTAATATCTCTCTCTCTCTCTCACACACACACACACACACACACACACACACACACACACACAACATGTAAGTCAACTGATAGGAACATTTCTTAGAAGTTCATTAAAAATAATCTCTCTTCTCCACACATTTGCTGTTATGAATGCAGCTTATAAAGTTAAACTTTTCAAAAAATAACCAAAAAATATAAAACCATCAGATGACTGGTGGAAGATATTGTTGTCCAGTTTCTTGGAAAAATTACAGTTAGATTTGAAGCAATGGAAGAACTCATAAACACATTGCATATTCAATTTCATACAATTTAAAACTGTATATGCAATAAAATAACTAAAACAAAAAATAAAGTGACAAATAATGAAGAACATTTTAATTCACGCCATAGGAAATTGTTGTGGAAATTAAATAAAATCAAGTGAAATAATCTATGTAAAAATGTGTGGTCACCTGTAAAACATAATAGGACATAAAGGTCTTAAAATCAGCATACTATAGTAACGCAGCCACATCAGTGTTTATAGAAGCTCAATTTACAATAGCTAAACTGTGGAACCAACACAGATGCTCTTCAACAGATGAATGGATAAAGAAGCTGTGGTACATATAAACCATGGAATATTACTCAGCATCTAAAGAGAATAAAATTATGGCATCTGCAGGTAACTGGATGGAGTTAGAGAATATTATGCTAAGTAAAGTAAGCCAATTCCCCCAAAACCAAAGGCCAAATGTTCTTTCTGATACATGGATGCTGATCCATAATGGGATGGGGAATGGGGGAGGAAAAATGGAGGAACTTTGAGCAAAGGGGATGGAGAGATGAGGAGGGAGCATGGGGACAAGAAAGATGGTGGAATAAGATGGACATGCTTATCCTAGATACATGTATGACTGTACATATGGTATGATACTACAGCGTGTACAACTAGAGAAATGAAAAGTTGTGCTGCAATTGTGTACAATGAACCAAAATAAATTCTGCTGTCCTATATGCCTAATTTAAATAAATAAATAAATTATAATAAGGATGTATGTGTTGTTATAATTATACTACCATTTATTCAGTGAGTGATTCGTATGCACCAAATACTGTCCTGGGTTTTTACCTCAATAGAATTTTGATGGCAATTTGGGCTTCCCTGTACCTTTAGATGCCTCTGATCCCATGGCTTTGGGATAACCAAAGTTTTTGTGGTTGTTATTTGTTTCTTTTTGGTACTAGGACTTGAACCCAGAGGCACTTTACCACTGAGTTCAATCCCCAGCCTTTTTATTTGTGATTTTGAGACACAGTCTCATTAAGTTGCTGAGGGCCTCTCTAAGTTTGCTCAGATTACCTTGGAACCTGTGATCTTCCTGCATTGCTGGGACTAAAAGTGTGCATCACCAGGCCAGCAAAACCAAAGTTTTAATGGAAGTTCCATTAGTCTTGGATCATCTCACCACAAACATCCTTGCCAACCTCTGGCACCTGACTTTTCTTGGTGTTTTTTTTTTTTTTTTTGGTGCTGCTTCACATCAAGTTAAGTCCTTTCTTCTAAAATAATCTTATTCTATGTATGTTAGAAGTATTAGGAACTTGTTCATAACATGGCAAACTCCAAGGGATCACGTGGTGGCAGAGCATGTCACTGTGAAGCTCTTGTCACCACACCACCTCCTCAACCTCAGCCCTGTCCTTCATCATCTCAACAAAAGCTTCCCTGTCTGAAGAGAAACATCTCCCTTCATTCTCTGTGGCCTTGAAACCACCTCTAGTGGGTTAATTATAGCACGTTTTGAACAAAGGAATCCCTCTTCCTAAGGTGATTCTTACATTAATCTCTGAGAGGATTAAATCTTGTTTGTCTAATTATGTATATTATTTCAAATCCTCATAATAGTCTTGCAAGAGGTATCCATTCTCATATTTAGTCAGGGGAAAAATAGAGACACAGTGATGAAGTCCTATTCCTAAAGTATAAACTAACAGGTAGCTATGTGATATTTACATTCCAATTGATTTACACAACCAGGTCTAATAATTGGAAAAATTGTCATCCTTGATTTCTAGCAATGCAATCCATTATTTATCCTACAAATAAGAGCAACAATAATAATTGTAGCATCGAACACAAATTGAGTGATAATCATATACTGGACACATTCAATGTGATTCCTATATATTCACTTATTTAATCCCTACAACATTTCAGTCAGATCAACATCATTATAATTTCCACTCTATAAATGATGAACAATGCAATTAAAAATAGTAAATAATTTACTGCAGCACCTAAGCTTGTAGAGGCCTGAAACCCAGTAAATTCTTATACTCTCTACATTAACACAGAATGAAAGACTCACTAGGCACTTGCAATTGAAAAATCTAAAAATCTGAAACCATAATAATTCTCAGTTTTACTTTTCTTAAAATGAGGAAATAACTTGTTTAAAAACAATACCCAGTACTAATACCATGATTTTAAAGCTGTGTACACACATATACAAACAAAAAACTTTAAATATTTAACTTATTCTATCTCCAAAGAATTTATTGTGAAGACGTTCTTTTTTAAAGTACAAAAAGTAGATGTAACCAGTATTGTGCATTGCAGCTTAAATGCCTAATACTTGAGTAAAGAAATTATGGTATGCCAATTAAATGTAATATACTGTAGTGATTAACATTTAATTTAATGACTAAGTACTTATGTGGAAAACTGTGTATCTGAATAAAGTAATTTAAAATCAATGAACAGAGTACAGTCAGTATTCCATATCTCTGGGTTCTTCATCCACAGATTCAACAAATTATAGATCAAAAATATTTTACCAGCTTTTAAACTTATTTATGATTTATTTTTAGCTATACATGACATTTAGATTCATTTTCATAATTAACAAAACATGCAATATAATTTTCTATATTTCATTTCCCTTATTTCCCCTT